TCTTTTTACCCCCATTAGTAGCGAACGCTGAAATGGCACAATTCACAATTTATGTCTTCGCAGACCTCATAAAATCCGTTTTCCCGACATTTCTGATTTTAGCTCACTTGTCCGCTCTGTTACCGATATGTTTCAGCCAGTACATGTATAAAGGTCACATTAAACAATTTCCCAAAGAGTTCAGATTAGAAATTAGTATTTTAAAAATGACATAGGTAAAATTATTATTGTTTCTGTGGTTGTCCATCTGACATGAATTCAAACATTGTGGTTCAAATGTTGCTATATACTACTTATATATTTAAAAATGTAAAAGAAAATTCAGATTTAGAGGGTGAATATTATTTCTAATGCGTTGGAAATATTTTATCCAACAACTGATACTGCAGGCTTTAAATTACCATGAGACTTCTACTCCAAAGTACCATAAAAAAATTGCTACAGGCTTCAAATTACCATGAGATTTCTACTGACAGGCAAACTGAATTTTGATTTGAAGACGATATTAGCTTTATACAATTATAATTGTTCGTGTTTATTGATAAAATTATTATTGCTTCTGTTCCTATCCATATGGGAGATACAATTTTTATATGGTGGCTCTATTAAACCAATAATTAGGGTACAAATGTTGTCATATGTTGTTTGGAGTTCTTGTGCTTTAGGAAAGTAACTAATATCTTCAAAAATGTAGAACAAAATCAGGAATTTCGATATAGGGAATCAACAATCAATAAATGTGGTTCAACTATCCATATTATACATATAATTTTATATGGATGTGCATCGAATAATTAGCGTTAAAATTTTATCATATGCTATTTGGAGTTCTTGTACTTCAAAAAAGTAAATAATATCTTTAAATATGTAGAAGTTAAACTTGACTTGTTTGTATCATGTGATTTGTTCCTAATACTGTGGAAATATTTTATCCAGCAATGGATACTCCATGTTTGAGATCAGGATAAGATTTCCAATGGTAAATCAGTTTTTCCTAATTACATTTTTACTAGCAAACAAATAGAACTTTTATTTCTGGATTATATTAGTAAATTGGTTGGTTTGATTATCATCTGGAACAATTTTTAGATGCACCATGGGCATGGACTGTATGAGATATTGACAAAATATTTGGGAAATTTTGAAATATGGTACTGCGATATAGAAAGAACATGTGAAAATGTTTAGCAAAATTGAATGAATAGTGGATTTTTGAGAAAAAGTATGCAGATGATTAATTTAACCACTTTCCTTGAAAATTGAATCAAAGTTGAAAGAGTACTTAGGAGCTGGTAGATTAATGACGAAATGAAGAAGACAAGTTCCACTTCCTTCATAATGGATTTTCCTTCTTAGTTAGTGTTTTTTCTTCATATTATCGTCTTTAGATAGAAAATATATTTCTTTTATTACTATTATACCTTAGTTGTTATTATTTTGTTACGAGTAATCACATATCACCATTAATTTTGCTTTTAACCAGAAATAATATTACTTCTTGTTCGTATACTTATATAATCTTACTAAGAGAATTTCGCAAATGTCAAAGGTGAGTGATACTATTAGAATAACTGTGTAGTCATCACTTAACCCCTAAGACTTAACCCTTTACCTTGTCATACCAACAGCAACCCTTTTGCTACATTACTGTGAAATGCACATAGTTACAGTTGGAATCAATAACATCCTACTGGGATTCTCAAACAATATTAATATTCATATATAATAAATAATTTTAGATGAGCTATTTTTTGTATTAGTGATTTTGGCTCTATCATTATCTCCATTAATAAGGGGGCGTCCATTAATCACGTGAGCGAGTTTTTAAGGGTTTGTGGGGGGTCCTCTTTGATGATACATGGTGACATTCAAAATTATCCCCCGCCACCAAACATTAAGTATATTTTTAGTTACGTGAAAAAACTGTAAAATTTTTGAATTTTTTTTTTTGAAAATGTTTGAACTTTTTTCAAAAAAAAGTTAAAATAAAAATACATGTAATATCTTACTATACCCCTCCCTCCCCCACGTGATATTTCGTGATTGTTTGTCAAATCCCCGTCCCCCTAAAAACCTCGCAAATTTTGTTCCATGTACTGCCTAGATTTTATAGGAATTGTATTATAATATATTTTTGATATATTACTCTAGTCAGTATCTTCCCTTAAATTTCTTGCATAACTAAAATGTGAATGTACAGTATTTATTTTTGAAAATTACAGCGTTTACAATTATGTGTTGGATTTTTTTTGTTATTTTATTTATATAGATCTTATACATTCTTGTGACTACTGGTCCATGTACCCTGGCCAACTTGATATCAAACAATTGTGATATCAGATTTTCTCTTGAGATTATAGTTCTTAAATATGATATAAAGTGATATAATTATTTTGAGGTATTGGTGCAAAAGTAGTTAAATCAAAAATTTAACTGGTTTTTATATTATAAAGGACTGTGGTGATACAAATAGAGATAAAAGATAAACTAATTCAAAAAGTTAGTTATTCTAGAATAAAATGATTTCTGAATAGACTCTAATGAAGAGAATGGGGCCTAATTCTCTCATAAAATAGACCTTCATCGGAGAATTGGCACCTATTTCTGTTAAGACAATAATCAAACTTAAATTTATTGAACATTAACACATATTTTTTAATTTAATGCAGATGTTTCAATAACTTTGCTATTCTTCTATTTCCAAAGTTTTTATATCAGTTTATTCGTTATAAATAAAATTTATTCTATGTATTCATCTGGACAAGACAGTTTCCTTCATTTTTTATATATTATAAAAATATTGTAGTTACATTTGTATTTGAAAAGCTGTGCACATCGGGTATTTTAAATATTAGTTTGATTTTTCGATTATAATTTCTACCCAAGACAATGAAATACATTAGTTTCAATATACATGTATAAGCAAAGAGTAAATCGTCATAAACTAATTATATATTGGTTTATTGTTCAAATTTAGAGTATCGTGATTTTGTAATCATACACAAATTAATTGTTATTGAATTTCTAGATATTAAAGTCTTTTTTATATAAACCTATAAAATTATTATAGATAAATTATTTTCACTCAACCTCGTCCACCTGTATATTCCAAACATAATTTTACTCCAGATAGGTAAAATGATATTATACCGGCGTTTTTTTATTTCCAATATTGATATTTTTTAATAAAATATCAATCTTGAATATAAAACCATTTTTAATAATATTTATGAGCAAAAAAATCAGTTTTATCTGCACAATATGCGATAAGTTTTATCTGCAGGTTAATGCTTTGTGCTGTTAATGAAAACTTGAAAATAAAGCCCATAAAGCCAATAGCGAATTAAGTTTCATATAAAAGTTTTTTGCCGGAATGATAATAAAATACTCCTCCCGTACAAGATAAAATTTAATTCGGTGTTTATGATGACAGTAAAACTTAAATATCCTTTGTTTTGTCAAATGCTATAACAATAAACGTAGAGCCATAACCATTTTATGAACGCTTACTCATTGTTCGCGTTTACATATGTTTAAAAGTGGAATATTTTCACTATGTTAATTTGAAGTTAATTTAAGAAGTCTTATACTAGTACTTCGTAGAGTAACTTTAGAATTCTCAGCGTCTCTTTGTACTTCTTTGTACTACTTGATAAGAATGCAATATTCAAATGGAAAGATTCAGTTGGAGAACAGAGTTTTCACAAAGAGTTAATGGTCTAGGTTGAAAACGTTTTCCATTAAGAATTACATTCTGGTTTGAATTTTATACACATAACTGATATCTGATATTCCGCCACCGAAAATCTCAATAACAAGTTAAAAAGTTTCTAACAACAATATTTGAAAGTAGAGAGACAAAGATGTATATAACCAGACACCACCTTGATTTTTACGGAGAAGAGCGGCAGTGTTTAAAAATCCGTAACAAAATTATTTTATTTCGTTCTTAGTTTCTTTAGTTGCGAGCACTGTTGTTTAGTTTACAAGTCCTTAATATAATTTATAGGTATACGGTATTTAATTGTTTTATAAGATGTATTATTAATTTTAAGTTAGATTTAACAGTTTTTTTATATAACCTCTATAAAAGCTTGTACGTGGGTGGGGGCAAAAAGGTCAACTGAACCTTTACCTTGGTAAAGGTGTAATCAATAAAAAATAGTAAATGAAGTAAAAGAAGTAATTTTACAAGAAATAAATAAAATTAATAGTTATTCCAACTCTGCTGATGAGTACTTCTGACGATATGCCTGATCAAGGTTATATACAGTGTTATCTTTGTGAAAATTGAACCCATAAAATTTATATTCATTTATATGCGTTGGTTGAATGATGTAGCTATTATTTCGTAAAATTTCTTCTAAATTTAACAATAAAATATTGGACCTGTTTGACATCTAGATGCCCCATTTTACCCTGTTTTTAGAATAAAAAAGAACATGTGACAAATTTTTGAAAAGCAGAAAAAATACATTTGTACAAGGATGAATTAGCTGGGTGTTTTACTGACCATAGTTATATAGTCGTTTGTTTGATATGTGTTATTTGTATGATATAATTGGTTTAGTTTCCACAATATATTTGTTCAAAGGTAAATTGGACCTTTGTGCCCCGTCCTACTCTATATGTTTTTTTCGTGTACTTGTATTAACTATAAATTGTTACAGCAAATCATAATATGCAAATTGTTATATTGTATTCATCATATTAATCATAACTTGTCGTTCAAAACTAATTCTCTATGCAATTATTGTGTTGACAGGTAGAAATATTATTTATTAGTTATAGATGTTGAAACAAATAAAACTATCTGATCATAATAATTTTAAATATAATTTCAAGTAACACTTCTGGGAAAATAACATAAATTTTCCATTAATAGTTACCTAATAATATATAATACTATATTGTGTTACTATTGGCTCAAAAAAATTTAGTTCCATAAACAATTCTATATCTAATATGAAAAATATTAACATAATTTTCTGTTGTTTCAGATGAAGTATAGTTTCATATTATTCGCCGTGTGCCTAATAGCTGCTGTTTCTTCCGAGGACGCGGCAGCAGCAGGTCAACAGGTTGCCGCCGACAGCAATGCACCGGGCGGTGAAATTTGGCAAGAAGATGACAGGGAAGTACTTATTCGGAATGAACGCGGCGCCAAAAATAGAGGTAATTGATTCATATAAAATAGATTTTCAAATTTCTTCTTATCTTATACATACTTTATATAAAACATTAACAATAAGTGCATCATGAGTCTCGGGCAGAGCATTTATTGTTAACGTTTTAAATAAAGTATGTATAAGATATTTGAAAAGTTTCTTCCACTATATCTTATTTTTCGAATCTTTCTTTGTGCTTCCGAGTTCTGTATTCTCAATTGTCTGCCCAGCTTAGAATTGTCTGCTTAATGGTACTTACTGCAACTCTAAGATATGAAAAGAATCTTATAGTGTATTTTGCTAATAAAGAACATTATGATAGCAATAAATACAAGCTCCATACATTATTAATGTTTCTTTTTACTATTTTGATTATATGGTATTTTGCGACTCCAATTTTAATATAAATTTTACCTTATAAAGGATCGAATAATAAACCTTCTACATTTGCATCAATATTTCAACTATCAGGTTGGCAACTAACTAAGTACGGATTTTTGTTATAAAAAATTCTTTGGGTTTCTGGTTTTCTGGTCTTTCTTGTCTTTTTGGTCATTCTGGTCATTCTGGTCTTCTGGTTTTTATTTGCAAAAAACTGAATCAGATACAATTTGACTCCACTGAATTGAATGATTGAATTTTTGAATCATTCAAGTGAATTGATGATAATTGAATTTTTACCATTCAAGGAGTTTTGTGAAGATTGAAACAAAAAGTAATCAGAGGTCAAAACTATGTGGTGGATGTGAAAAACATATCAACCAAGCTTCAATAATTTTTGCCAAAGAAATGTGATGTCCATAATGGAATAAATCACACTTTGATTTGTCAATTTAGGTTCTTTTTCTTCGATTGCGTTGTTTCATTTCGTTACTTGTTTAATGTGGACATCAGAATTGTTTGTTCAGTTGGTGATACCAGTGTAAAGTAGATAATTTCTTTATAATCAACTTCATCTTCATCTAGTCTAGACGATCAGAGCATTTTTCATCTTTGAGTGAAAAATAACCAGAACGAAATTTGGTGAACCAATTTTGACACTGCTCTCTTTTCAAGGCTTTATCACCATAAACAGCTCATAACCTTCTGTGATGCTTTTTTATCTTGACAAAAATTCGTTTAACGAATGTCAAAAGATAACTACACTATCGATCAAAAATATTTACTGATTAAAAGCTGAAATTACTATTATTTAATTACAAAAGGTATTTTTCATTTGGACTATGTCAGCATACTTAAAAAGTCAATTGAAAACATCTTTTAGTGAAAGCCGCATTTACTTAGCTGCCAACCTAATAATTTACAGTGGAAAATATTTTTTATATTAACATTTTAACTCAAACATTAATTTTTTTGTTATATAAGGTTACACTTTGCTCTTCTTTCACAAAATTTCATTTAACTTCTAACAAAAAGCAATGGAATTTTGTAATTTTAGAATAAATTGTCTTCTATATTGATTGATTGGGTTATTGCACTTAAGTGCAAAATTTAAATCTGTAGTAGCTGTAAAATATACATCAATTGTTATTAAATCTAATTAAATTTATGTTATTGTTATTCAGTTAATTCCACAAAATCTTGTAGGATTTATTATAATATCGTTTGTTATTGCCAAAACTAAAAGTCTGGTAAGAAAAATATGATTATGAAAATGTGATAGCAAAGAGTTGAATTTTAAAATATTTTAATGGTTGAAGGAGATTCAGCAATTCTATTTAAATGCAAAAATATAATAATATAGTTCATAGTATATTTTTGCTATAATTTAATTTCGAAAAGTACTGTGGAATTATTTGAACTCTAATAAAAATATAACTTATTTATAGCATTTATTTCATTTATAATAATAATTATATTATAATTATAATTAATATATATAGCATTTACTTCAACTAGTTTTAAATTATAAAAACAACTAATAATCTGCTTTCAGAAGTATACATTTTTTTTATTAACTTCTTCAGATATTTGAATTTTTTTCATGTAAAAGCACAATTCATTTAATGTAGGTTTTTTTCACGAGGCAATATTTTTATCTCTGGTGAAGTAATATTTTTTCCGGCTTCATTAGCAGGAAGCTTGTATAACCATAATTATTTTCAACATTTCCAGTTTATTATTGCGATTCTTTTCTAAGTTCGTAATATAAAATTTTCAACCCTTGGCAGTATATTTACATTCAAGTACAGTTCGTTTGGTTATTTATGAAAAACATGACATGAAAGCCAATAATGAACATCACTGTACAGACTATATAAAATATGTTAAAGTACATTTGCAATTCGATTTATTCATAAAATGTAATAAAAAAGAAAAGAAACTCTACAAAGCGAAAGCTTTTCATTATAAAAATGAATTATAAAGTCCACAGAAAATAATCTGGAACGATGGAATATTAAAATGCGTAATCCCTCGATCAGATTGGCTTTCAATTCAGATTCATGTGAAATGATGTTTCTTATTTAGACAGGAGGCGTGGAATAAATAATAAATTTATGAAAAAAATTCAAATTACTTCACTTTTAGTTATGTATGTTATAAAGAATTAAAATACTTTTGAAACATTTCGTTAAATATTATAAATAAACGTTGTATGATTTTATTAAAATTATACAAAATTAAAATTAATTAGATAGAAAAGTTGTGACAAATATTTCTATGCTATAATTAATTTTTTAAGTTTTGTACTTGAAAGACCGAATTGAATTATTTCATCAATAAAAACAATTTACATGTGCTGGTTATATTATTTATAATAAAATTTGCTATTTCATATAACATAGGAATGAAGTATAGGTGGACAATTTTATTTTATTTTTTTTTATCATTTTAAAAGTATAATTTGTTATTACAAAAATATTGCATACATATTATTTTATTTTGTAAGATAAAGTTTCAAAGTTTGATTACAAAAATATGAGTCTACACAGTTTATATTACAATACATCGTTTATGTTACAAGATCATATTTTGCATATATTAATTTATTTATATTACAACTACTACCGAAATTGAAAACTTTGCTCTTAAATTTGAGATTGGATATGTTTTTGGAGTAAAAGTACTTTGCTGTATTAGTATCCCTAAACTCTAACCATGAATTTGAAGTTTCGAAGTTTGAAGTGTTTTTGTTTGGATATATAAAGTATAATTCATTAACTATTTATCAGTAATGTATTGAGTAATTATTGTATATCTCTTGTAAGTAAAACGAAAAACTTGGCATATCAGAATGGATTATTTGTTTACAACATTACACATTACCATTTATAGTAATCAATACCATATAGATCGCATTTTTTACTACAATTTGTAAATTTGTTACTGCAAATGTACACTCTTGGGAAACATACACTTTTACCTTAAATGTACCTAATGCATTTGTACATTTCTTGGCAAATGTGTACTTTTGCTTTCACGTTTTGGTGAATAAACACTCTTTCATTCATGTTTTATGAAAAGTTGAAATACAAATAAATTAAAAATATTATTGCATTAATTGATAATTATTAAATTAAATATGCTTTAATAACAACAACTATTTTGATTAAAATATGCGAATGACAAATCAAGCACTTTTTTGCAAATTATATAATGTGTCATATGAAAAGCAACCAAATATTTTTTTTTTTTTAGATCAAAACTTATTAGTTTTATAATACAAAATTGTTGAGAATTATACAAAATTAAAAATTAAACCTTGATACAAAAATATAAATTTAAATAATAAACAGAATATTAAAAAAATACAAAACATTGAAATAATCATCTTATAACACAAACTGTGGTTGGAACTGAGCATTAATTGATCTAGTATATCATTTGGCCATTTCTGTTTTAGTCTTCTAGTTCGGCTGAGCAGTGATTTGATAACTGGATAATTAGTGAAAATGGCATATCTTTTTTTAATAAAACTTAATTTTTATAAATATTAAATTATTTAATCTAATGGAATATCTAAAAATGTTATAATAAAAAATATTAAATATTATAAATTCAAGCAAGAATTGCTGTTGTGGCACTGAGATTGACATAATATTCAAATACATCTGCAACTTTATTGAGAAATATTTTGCTTTATAGAAGCATCTTTTCAATCTTTATCGATCAGTAAAGGACTACATTCTTGTAAATTTCACGTATATTCATGGATATTGTGAATTTAATCTTCATTTTTAACTTCCCTTAGGAAAGTTATAGTAATCGCAAAAAATGTAATATGAAAATGTTTGTATACCTTTACGTTTTAAAGGTTTCTGAATATTTTGGCAAACCTTAGATACCACCTAATGTGCGGATAGAAATTTTTAGATTTCGAAATTAAGCGATTTAAATTATATAAAACATTTTCGATTGTCCAATTGCTTTGAACATAAGGTGCAAATGTGCCAAACATGGCTATTTATTTTTTGAGAGAACGGAGCGTGTGTTTTAAATGATTCAAAAAACATTTCTCTTGTATCGATGGAATGAAGAATTTATAATATTTCTGTGAAGGCAAGTCTAGTGATTTCGGAGATCCAAAAAAAAGTCAGAAAAAATGCCATTTGGCGGTCGAAAATGATCATTAGACATATGCACATCAAATTATCAGATATATTTTAGAGATTTTAATAATGAGCACTAATTTTATCTAACATTTTTATGGGTTTCGTACCAAGATTTATAATTGTTAAAGGTCACCTATATAGATGAAACAAAATTTTTCGATATTTTCGATACTATGAATCAACCGACATAATTTTTAAAGCTTTTAAAAGTTTCCAATTGTAGTACGAGAAGTTCCAGCCATTTTCCTTAAGACACGATGCCATGCACCACTAGTTCTTATTTAAAATTGTAAATGTAAAATAAATTCACCTTGCACATTTACCGGAAAATCTGTATATTTGAGTATATTAACAAAACACACAAGCCAATTGACTAATGTTTTTCATTTCATTATATTTGTATTTCAATATCCAATCGTTTTGATCAGTTGTTTATTAAATTATCATTTTATAA